ATACTTCTGTATATTTTATACAAAGTCAGCTTATTGCCCCCACAATCTGGGTCCTCATTTAACCTACCTTAGAAAGGATGGAAGGCTGAGTCAACCTTGAAAAACGGGGGAGTTTCTTGAAAAATGGGGCCATCTCTTGAGTAACTCTTACTCTGAGATGTGGTCACTTCAGAGGATGCTTGGATGGCAGCAAAGCTAGAGAGTATTTGAAGCAGCTGGAAACATTAGGATGTGGGACCTGATCCAGGACCATCTCCCAGCACTAAAGCTCGTAGGGCTGAGTGAAGGGCAGAAGGAAGACCAAGGCAAGGGCATTCTTAGCAGTGATCATATGCACCTGGTGTGTGTGAGCCCCCCCCCCTCCCCCGCTAATTTAGAGCCACTCTTAGCAAACAAACTTCTGTTGAGAACAACTGCTCTGTTTGCTGGAAACTCTGCCTCTTTGCACCCTGAAATCTTATATATACAGACTTTGGCCACAAAGAAGAGGGAGCCAAGCTATTCTCCAAAGCACCTGAGGGCAGGACAAGAAGAAATAGGTGGAAACTAATCAAAGAGAGAAGCAACCTAGAACTAAAGAGAAATTTCCTGACAGTTAGAACAATTAATTAGTGGAACAATTTGCTTCCAGAAGTTGTAAATGCTCCAATGCTGGAAGTTTTAAAGAAGAGAGTGGATAACCATTTGTCTGAAATGATATAGGGTTTCCTGCCTAAGCAGGGGGTTGGACCAGAAGACCTCCAAGGTCCCTTCCAACTCTGTTATTCTATTCTACATAGAAATTGTTCCTTTGAATCTGGATCAGCTGACAACCTACCCATCATACCTACCCATCATCCTTGGACCATGCATCTAAAATGCTCCTGCCCAATGCTTCAGAAAACTTCCTTACAGACAAGATTTTAGAGTTGGGACTGTTCAAAACTATGCATGCAACTGCCTGCCACTACTTATAGTTATACTAACTGGAATAGAAGCCTTTGCAAATGATAATGCGTTAAGTGTGGGCATGTGTACGCATCTGAGATAGGACATTGGGTATCCATATTAGTAAGGAAATATGTAAGATGCCCACCAAGCAGTGTTATTCAATGGAATGATAGCACATGTGAAGGATTGTTTTTATAGAGGGACAGAACCTTTTAGCATGTTATGGGTTTATTATGGAATGTAAATTACTATAAATCTAGCATGGCACTGAAAGTAATTGGGTAAAAGACTTAGCATTTTCTCTACCATTCAGAGAAAAACATTATGGCTGACTCACTGGTACATCATCAATATTCTAATAAACAGAGGCTGTCCATATTCATTTAACCTCTGCTCCAAGGACAGTGTATTGGAATTGACAGCAGTGAGTATTACTATACTATACATGGTGTTCAATTCCTGCCTTCCTATAGTAATATGAAACTACTAGCTCTAGATCTCCGGAAGGTAAGCAAGGCATTGTCAGGGGTGGAAAGAGTAGGAGACGGGAGGGGGCAAAGCAGGTCCAGGAATTTTACCAGATTTGCTTATCTGCTATCTAGAAAGTAGAGAATATTCGAAACTACAAATATATATGTATATTATAAAGGGCAGCAGAAACTCTGCTAACTGCAAAATATGCTCCATTAGTAACGACAGACCTTTACGACCTCTATGCATACGACCTCTACGCATAATAAGAAATGAAGGATGGATCTATATTATTTGCAGAAGTAAACAAAGCAATCTTTGCAAATAAGAACTCTGTACATTCAAATTCCTGTCAAACTCCTATGCACATTTACCCAAGAGTAAATCTATTAACTCTTTGTTAGGCAACAAGCTTAATTGCATGAGCTGTGTTTAAGCATTTACCTATGTTTACCATACCATACCATATGAAGGACTCTCTCCAATATCCATGCACTCAAATAGGTGAGCCAAAAGGGAAGTACACTCACACTGATTAGAAGACAAATATAGCTCTCCATCTGATCCAGGATATTTTAAAGCATTTTCTACAATTGGGGCATGGGTTGCCTCCGAGTCAATACTAGCTCTCAGTGAAGGCCTGTAGCTTACTTGGCAAGATTTCAGCAGTAGTTTGCTGTTGCGCCCTTCCTAGGGCTGAAAGCGAGTGACTGGCCCAAGATCCCCCAGCCAGCTTCAGGCCCAAGGGATTATAGTTTCCTGGTTGCCTTAGCTGCTTTCCCAAATGTGTCTCTTCTATTTTCTACAAAATTTATCTTAAATAGGTTTTACACCCTGAAGAAGAAATAAATATTCCAAAACAAGGTAACATGTCTCTCTTATAAATTAACCTTCAACTTTACACTTTTGTTAGTTTGATAGACTTTCTTCTTCTTCTTCATTATCATCATAATGTTCATCATCCTATATTATTCATATTGTTTACTTCTAATATATAACCCATATTTAAAAAAAACTTTAAAACTATAAGCATAGGGTAAAACATTTTTAAACTACTTTAGGTAGATAGGTGGGTAGGTAGCTGGGTAGAGATAGATACTAGATAGATAGATAGATAGATAGATAGATAGATAGATAGATAGATAGATAGATAGATAGATAGATAGATAGATAGATAGATAAATTTTATTCTCAGTCATCTTTTAAAACTAATTAAGAAACCTAAAATAGAAAATCTGAGAAATACAACTTCTTAAATAATCTTTTCCTTCTATGTAACTATTGTCACTTCTGACTTGTACTGATCTTAGAATTAGACAAAAAAGTGATTCATGACATACTTTTATCTAAAGAATGGGAGTTTATATTAAGGTGTATTTTTCCTTTATATTCAAATCAGAGAGAACCCTAAAAAACTATTCCATATAACCTAATAAATGTGATTTTACAACTCGAGCTGTTCAATTCTTTAGTAAAAGGTGCTTTGGAATAAGTGAGAGCACATACCAAGCACCACTTTTCATATTGTTAAAGCAGCCATGTCTCTTCTTCTAGGATCATGTGGCTGTTCTGAAAACTGCTCCAAAGCAACTTCACTAACAGCCATTCAAGCCTGGAAAAAAGATAGGGATGCTATAAGGATCTGAAAAGACCCTTTTTTCTGTGTTCTCACACATTCTAAACCCTTCTGAAACAATAGCAAAGGCTTAATTATAAACTTGCTTACTGGAAATGTCGAAATGTATACTGCTGAATACATGGAAAATGCAAAATCATTATTTTTATTAAGAAAAATATATAATTCACTTACCCATTTCCATCTGTTTTTCTAACATAAAGTTCTAAGATATATGTATAATATATAATTTCATATTCACTGAGGCCAAGATCCTGTCCCTATGCAAATAAATATACTTGCAATATGTGTTAATGTGTGTGTATGGGAGGGGGGGGAGGAAGATAGAGAGACAGAGTCAAGGAACACTTAGAAAAGACACAGAATTGGAATGTGCTCAGGTGACATGATACTCAAGAGTCCACTCAAAGTTCTATTTCTCTTCTTATTTTTTCAAAGTAACCACAATGGGCTAAAAAGTGAAATGCTGTGAAATGAACCTGAAGCACTGAAGGGAAAGGAATCAGCCATGGAGAAAAATGAAAAAGGAATAGGATTCTATGCCCTGCAAAATGCCATTTTTGCATCAGAATATTTAACATTTAGAATATTTAACCTTTAACAGTTAGCCCACATCTGCTCGATGGACAAAATACTGTAAATCTTTCCAGATGTAACATTATGTTGTTAACTTCAACAATCACGAATAGTTTTACTACATATATCTTACAGATTCCTGAAAAAATACTAATTACATAGAAAGTGGTTCTTAAACTGTTTCAGGCAAATACATTTTTCTGGGCTTGAATAATATCATTACCACAGGAAAAAAAGATAAATTCTTATTATTTTCACAAGCATCATAGCAATGGTAGTCCCAAATTGGATCCTTGACTTAAAAATTAGCAATTAGCAATTGCAAATTACCCCCAGAATATACCCCCGTTTAAGATCCACTGAGCTAGGCTAAGACCTTGACATTAGATGTGATGTCTGCAGCTTCTCTGCACCCCCCTTCCTCAGTAATTTTTTCTGTAGTCCATGGATTAAAGCCAATTTTCACTGGACCATCTATCATGCAGACACTGCTGCTCTGTTCTGGGTACAACCATTTTAAATAAAGAACTTGCATGAACAACAATGTGCATTTTCAGCTGATTTTATCAACACAGGAATGTCAGGGTAGTTTGACTTTCATTGCAGCCTTGAGAATAAAAATATTTTTTTCTTTTTTTAATCTAAAACTTACTTGAGATAAAAGTCAGGCAAAACAGCTCATTATGATAAGAAAATTGGTGAAAGAAGGACTTAAAACAGACTCATGTATATTCTTTGCATATAAAGAGAAGCTACTTCCTTTATCTATACTTAACGCTGGTTCTTTTACAGTGGGAGAACTCCCTTACATGGCAATTAAGTCTATTTTAGGAATAAACAGTACCTACTTTCCTGGAGGAATGTAATCAGATCAGAATTGTATAGTCGTTTACAACTGAAGATAGGACTTCATGCTCTTATCTTAAGGATCCATGGATAAAAACTAATGCTGGTTAGCAAGGAGAAGAAACATGGTCATTGCCAGGTTGATCAGTGTGGAAAATATATTGAAGGAGTGGGGAAGTGTTGAAGAAATGTTGAGGTAAAGGAGCTTGTCCCATTTGAAGTCCCCAGACTTCATATGAAAAATTATTCAAAAATAAAATAACTGTAATATTTCTTGCAAAACTTATTACTATATATCAAGTGAGGTGGAACCTGCATTGCATGTAAATTAATTTCTGTATGTCAGAACCAAATACCATACATCAATCTACTGTAAATCACACATTTCAATAGAAATGTTGCACTGTTACCTTTACATGTTTAAACAATTTGAATAACCATTTTGAATAAGAGAACGAAAATGTATACTTGTAATTGTCTATATAATTACGTAAAACAACCAGAAACTTATGGAAAGAAGAATTAAAAGCAGTGGTCTTACCTTTCATTCCAAATTTAGAATGTCTTCCAAACTTGAGAATAATGAGCATAATTACTAAGCCAGTGCACACCAATGCAGCAATCCCCACTACAACATACACCTAAGAAAAAAACAAGCAACAATAAATCAAACTGCACAATTTTCCCAAAAATAGTTCTAAAAAAATAGAAAAATATTAATTAGATTATTAGATATTAATATAATATATTGGCAACATTCTTAAACATATAGTATCAGTGGGTTGGTGGAGCATTTCTTCCATCAATCATGTCTGATTATTAAACACTACCTTGACAAGTCCCTGCAGTTTTCTTGGCAAGATTTTTCAGAAGTGGTTTGCCATTGCCTCCTTCCTAGGGCTGAGAGAAAGTGACTGGCCCAAGGACATCCTGCTAATATTGTGCCTAAGGGAGGACTAGAACTTTAGTGCTTACATAGCTTCTCTAACTTGGCATCTTCTAAATGTGCTTGGACTACAAGTAACAGAACTCCAAGATTACTAGCAAAATCAAAGCATAAACATCTGGAGATTGTAATCCGAGCTCAGGAAGAAGACACAATGCTGCAGAAAATTAAATGAAGGAAATGTGAACATGATTTTAAACCATGATGCACCAACTTTCTAGACATTTCAATTATTTCAGGGTGCACTTCAGCCTTTTAGTTAGCATTATACTTTATTTTTCATGTTAAAGAAAACAAGTTCAACGTGTAAATGAAAGCTGCATTCTTGTGGCTTGGGAGCCACCATTTCCTAGTATCAGCTGAAATGCATGAATCAAATTGTGTAAATAATGTTATGTCTAAATTTGACCAGCTTGTCCTTAAAAATTGCTTCATGTTACAAAACCACAGCTAAAAGCTCCAGGGTACATGCAAAATAATGTCTTGTTGCAAGCTAAAATATCCTCGACCAACTAGATTCTTAGTCGGAAAGACTATTGTGATTACAAACCAGGAAATGATGTTTATACTTACAGTGATGCTATCTTCGTTGTCTTTGTTTGACACATCCGTAGAAGTAACTTGGTTACTATTATTTGTAGTGTCTTCAAAATCATTTGTTGGTGTTCCATAATCTTCTAAGAGAAAGAACATATTTATTTTCTTTAAGTATTGTAAAGTTTTTTTGTGTGTCTGCTAAAAAAGCTAAACACATACAATTATAATTTGCAAAGATTTAGGAACACACTGTTCAATTCTATCTACTTATTTGCCACGTTGCTATATGACTTGTTTAGGACTATAGTGCATGAAGTCAGAATGAAGATTACGGGAAATAACGGAAGAGATGTGCAGATATTTAAAGGGAAGGAGAGAAGCTACACTCCTTTGTACTATGGGACAGAATACTAGACAAAATGGAGATGTCTGTAGAAAAGCTGTGTAAATATTCATGACTGTCTGACACAACTGAAATTCCTTAGCTTTTTCTGATGCTTCTGATCTATCATTGTTTGTGGGTTCTGTGTGTATCTTTAAATCTGAAAAAGGAACCTATTTTCAAGCAAAATACAAAGATTTTAATAGATATGGGAATATTTTTAATGTAGTAAATATGAGAAGTTTTTAAGATGAAATATAACAAAATATATTAATACAATGAAAATTAATGCAAAAACATTCCACACTGGCAAAAAAGCTAATTTCCAGCTAACATTCCATGCGATACGGAAAAAAATTAATTCGTGTAGGAATTTGGAAGGACAAAAGAGTAATTTTTTAAAAAGCTCTTCAATAATGGTCGCATTAATTTTCTTCTAAATTTCTTTATCTGATACAGAAATGTGATGAAACAAAATTAAGACTGCACAAATGAAAACTTGAGAGAAACGAAATTCAGAGTTTGGTCTCTCCCTGGTGCTAGGTGAGTCAGAATAATAGCAGTATTGTAAGGAATAATGTTGCCTTTTGAGAAATGCTAACTGTTTAAAGTCAGGATTAATTATTTAATCCTCCAAGCAGGATAGGAATGGTTTTGATATCTGCAAAATGCATTGTAATTCTGTGATGTGACTTGGATGAGAAGATTGTAGTAAATGGCCCATGTATGCCACAGTACAGATCTTCCAAGCAAAACATTTCTTAGCTCTTCCTTTGGTGTAGAGAATAAATCAACCTTCTGCAATCTGGTGACTCCAGGTGTTTTGAGTCTACATAGATGTGTTGGCCACTGCAGACTTATATTTGGAAAGCAATATTTGCATTTTGGAAATTTTTACTAGGTAGTAAAGATCCTAAAGTATTAATAGGGAGGAGGGGGAGAGAAGGATTGGTTTCCAGTTTCGACTCTACTAGGTTTTTTTTTAAGACAATCTGCTGCTGAAGGTATTAGACAGGTTACCCTATCTGACTACACCAGAGTGGAAATTGGTGAGAAGCTTTCAGCCTAGCCTTCCAAAACTGTAAGTCAGAAATTTAGCCCATGGCATATATGTATTTTAAAATGTAAACATGAAAACACTGTTAAAGCCACTTGCAAAGAGTATATCCTGACAGGCTTAATTAGCAAGCACAATTCCTATCAAGGTTCAAGAAAGTCAAAAAATTAAAAAGATGCAAATGAAGTTTCAGTGGCACATTAATGACTTTCTTGTCCCATCAAACTGTTATTCTTCATTGTTTTTTAATACAGTCCTCAATTTACAAGCACAATTGAGCCCGAAATCTATGTTGCTAAGTGAGAAATTTGTTAAGTGAGTTTTGCCCCATTTTATGGCTTTTCTTGCTACATTTGTTAAGTGAATCACTGCAGTTAAGTTAGCTACATGGTTGTTAAGTGAATCTGGCTTCCCCATTGACTTTGCTAGTCAGGAGGTTGCAAAAGATGATCACATGACACCAGGACACCACGACCGTCATTAATGTGAGTCAGTTGCCAAGCTCCTGAATTTTGATCATGTGACCATGGAGATACCGCAGCACTCTTAAGTGTGAAAAATGGTCATAAGTCAATTTTTTCAGTGCTGTTGTAACTTCAAACAGTCACTAAATGAAGTGTTATAAATTGAGTAAACCTGTATATAGGTTTTCTCCAATAAGTGTCTTCCTAGAAATTACAGTTATAAAGGAATGACACAAATAGGAAATGGTTACATTACTTTATACGAACCCAAAATATAAAGGGCAAAGAGAAATATCTGATCATATGGATTGAGAATTCTGAAAACTAAAAATAAAGGATCGTTAGGTAGAATGTTCGGTGTAATTATATAGACATTAAAGGGAATATTTAGTTTCACTTTGTACCAGGTGGTACCATGCAAAATGTTTTTTATGTAACGCTTTTAAAATTATACATCTTGAGTTCACTCTTTTATATAATTTTAATGACTTTTGTGGTGGGAGGGAATGATGTATCCAGATCTAAGACTAGAAACTGATCAAGCAAAAATAATAATTTTACTCATATGAATTCTTTGTTTTATTATTAGAGATTCATTTTAAGTAATGTCATTCTCCTCCCAAACTATATAAAACATTTTGACTTTTCTGAAAGATCTTGTTCCCTATCATTTATCCTTTAGCAAGTTGATTTGTATTGCTGGCAATTATTTTAATATAACTTATGACAGTCTGGGGAGGGGGTGGGAAGGAGGAAGAAAAAGAAGTCGATGAAACTAACTGAGCTTCTACCTAACACTGAATCAGAATTAAATGTGATATTAGCCCTCTGTAAGTTCAAACAAATATTAGACTCCACCTGTTCTCCCTTTTCCTCTCCTCTTCTAAGAAGAGAACTTTAGATTTCAGTTTGACTCTTTCCTAATTTTTGTATACAATCTGAAAACATGTTTCACCACACTCAATAACATAAAAATATCAAGTATCTAGAAATATAAAACCTTAGATAATATTTTAATATTATTCCTACTATACTTTATTTTAATCATTAAAAGAACTTATAAACAGCCCCAAAGATGACATTTGTTGGGCTGTTAAAATATTTAAAACTATAAAGGTTCAGAACTAAAGAACCTAAACAGTGTATATGTTGTTATTTTCTCTTATTTAAATTAGAATTCTAGCACTGAATTTAATGAAGTTTTGCCAGCTTAAAGGATAATTACTTATTGATCAAATTTGCATTCCACTAGAGTAAAAAAAATATTCAGTCATTTCACTGGAAGAAAGAAAATGCAACTGTTTCCTGAATTTGTCCAACATTTATTGTCTAGGGAATCCAATATGCATGAGATCCCTTCACATACCTACTTCTACCACAACTCCATTGTGTGATGATTGCAAAATGTGCCCAGCCAAGGGGGAAAAAGAATTTTCTGATGCTCTGCTATGAAGATAATTGTAAGAGAGAGCAATGGTTGATATAAATGCAATGCTGCTAGACTTAATAGGGGGAAATGTACAGTATTAAAGGTCTTACTAAAATCTATTTCAGATGAGACCTATTTTCTGTTATAAAGCATTGGTTTCCATCACTTTCCAAAAATATTATAGAGCAAATTGATTGTGGCACTACGGAGAGACAGGGAGAACCCAAAGCAATCTATAGTCCTTTATTCAATGGCCTTGGAACGCTAACTATTAAGGGGGTGGAAAAGGGGGTAAGAAATGAAAACTGAGAATAGGGACAAAAAAATGAATGGGTGAAGTCCTGAAAGAAAGAGCTCCATATATAGTAGTTTTGTTGTCTATTCCTTTTGTTTTATAAATTTTGGATCTTTTCATAAATCATTTATAATTAAATATATACAATTGTAATGATATGGAATAAAGCCATATTCCTTTAACTTTTATGCTGACTAATTAATTCACAATTAAAAATATGTATTTATTTATCAGGATTAAGCAGCTTTCCTACTTTGGCAGCACATACAAGAGTGTATAGAAACATTGTTTAAGATGGACTTTCATATTCAAAAAGATGAATGCAATTATACAAAAAGATAGAACTTTAAATATGTGCCTAATAATATCACTGCACTTTTAATTAGTATGTGAATCCTACATACAGTATTATTAGTCTTTAAATGAGAAACTTGAGCAGACATCGGATTTCAGTCTTGGGTCAATGCAAATCAATTAAGATGAGTTTTTCCTTCAGTTAGTAGATAATTTAATAGGATCATAATTATGCTGTATTACATTTTATCTTAATAATTATATTAATATAAAGGCATGTGAAAGAAAAAAATAGTTAATTGATCTTATGAAATAGTCCCAATCTAAAGACCAGTTAATTAAGACTATATCTCACAAATCAAGTAAATAAAATTATGGATTCCAAAGCTAATTAAGAACTATGTCGTGTTCTTTAAAATAATTCCACTAGCTTAGATAGTCCTGCCAGTAAGTGAAGTAAGTGAAGTTTTTCTTTTAAAAAGCCTTACTTACAGATAAATATGTATAGGATTGAAGCCTTAACTTTCTTTATATACAGGAAACGATGATAAAGTTATCAGAGAAAATTTGTATAAAAAACTGAAAATTCAAAGCACCTTGAATCTAAACAGTGCTCTGAGAAATAGATTCATTTGTTATTTATCAACAACACTGGATACATCACTATACGTTGTACAACTTTTGTTTCCTATTATGCACTGAAATTAATAATAACAAATAAAAATGGATTATCTTGGAAATTGCATAATAAAAAATAATAATAATTTTAAAAAATGGATTATCTCATGCTAATTCAGTATGTTTTCTCTTTGGGTTGAGGGGCATTAAGATCTCAAAAATGAAACAAGATTTGTTGTCTAGATTGATCAAAATATATATAAAAAATAAAAATTACATGACCTCTCTATGAACACTAAGAAATTGGAATGGGAATTTTTTTACTATTGTATTACAATGAATTTATTATTACTGCATAATTCTATCTTTTGCCAAAACATTCGGAAGTGAATCACTGGTGATGTCATGACATTTTAAATGAACTTAATGAATAAAATTATTCTTCAGGATACAATCTGGGTCGGTCACTGGGACTAGAGGTTTCATCTTCCGAGCTTTCGGACTCGTGCTGGAGCCCATCTTCAGGGAACTTCTCAATCAAGAGAGAAGTTCCCTGAAGGTGGCTCCAGCATGAGTCTGAAAGCTCGGAAGATAAAACCTCTAGTCCCGGTGACTGACCCAGATTGGATTCTGCACCATTATTAACTTCTCAATCAAGAGAGAAGTTCCCTGAAGGTGGCTCCAGCATGAGTCCGAAAGCTCGTAAGATAAAACCTCTAGGCCCGGTGACTGACCCAGATTGGATTCTGCACCATTATCCTGGGCCGTGTATATTCACCTTCATTCATAAAAATTATTCTGATTTAGAGAAGTCAGCAAGATAGCGCCATCATTTTCAATGAAAGGATTAAGTATATGTCAACATCTCCAAAGTTCAAATTAATGATATTAAAAATGTTAACTGTGGCTGAATCATGCCCATCATAAATATTTCTAGTGATATTTAAACAGTATGCAAATCACATCAGAGTATAACATCTATCTTCTCTTTCAAACATTTAGTTATTACATGTTGTGTACATATATCTATCTATATATATAAAATAGAAAATGAAAATATACCAATGTAACCGGGATGATCATAGAACGGACTACCTACAGAACAGAAAGAAAAAGAAATATATCATAGCGGCGTAGTTAACAGAAACAACTTGTGTAATTGCATCACATTTAGGCATACAAACTACTTTATATTTAATACAGAACTGAGTTTAGCATTGCCAGAAGCAAATTCTAAATTTTCCTGGCCATGGGAGCAAAATCCCAAAGCAAAAGTGATCCCTTTTACACATAGCAAGGTTTTCCTATTTATTTCTCCCTACTGCAGGCCTTGCAGGAACTCAGATCCGAAGTGACCAGGAACGACACTATACTCCAGGATGGGAGTAAGTACATGAAGGAGGACTGTAGTAGGGAGACAATATTTACTCCACAGATTTACTCCACAAATGGATTTCGCTTTGATAATATACTAATTCAACAGTTTTCATAACATTAGAATTCAGATTTTAATTGGGATCATTTCTATCAGAGAATCTACAAGTATGAAACAATATTTTTCTGAAAGAAAGAAAATAATGTAACAGTCTGAATAGTTCCACATCATTTCTTAATGCAGACTTCCCTTACTTAGTGCCTTCCAAGTACGTTGCAATACAATTTCCATAATTCACAATTAATAAAATATGACACCTATAGTAAAATACATTTAGGAAGATACCATGTTAGGGAAGGTTGTGATACTAAACATATTTCGTACATTACAATTTTTAAAAAAATTGGTCATTCATTTGAAATCTGCTGTACAAATTTAAGCTTGAAAATAAAGGATTTTCAGTCCATAAAATCAACTTCTGCATCAAGAAAAAAAATTCACTTTTTACTGAAGATCAACAAAGACAATTTTCTTCTGTAATGTTACTGTTACAAGATTAGCCTAATTTGGGAAGCCTGTCTCCCCTCCCCACCCCCAATTATTTGATGAACAAACAAACCCAAACATGTAATGTGTTCGCATTAGAGAGGTATCCTAGCTTGGAACACTCCAAGTTCTGAAAAAAACACACACCTAGTGCTTTGTTCAGAGCTTGGAACAAAGTGGGGTGTTTGTTCCAAATTTTGAGTGCTCCAACATACCACACTTGGGTTGTTTTTGTTTTTAATTTCCTTAAAAACATAGAGGAAAGTGCATAGATAATAAAATAATAAGCATAACTACTTAAGGAGAGGATAAGAGAGAATGAAAGTCACAATCTCAAAAGATTTGAAGCCACTTTGGAATGTTGCTCCTGGAATGGAGAGAGAAGTTAAAGACTGTAGTCAGATTTTGAGACTTTGAGACTGAAATTCATAGACGAATGTACTGTTGCTTGTCTAGACAATTTCCCTCCTGTCTTATGCTCCAAAGTTAATCATACTGTGTAGGTTAATTAATTAGTTAATCAAGAGTTTAAGAGGAAAGAAAGTAGGAAAGGGATTCTATCCCTCTTGTGTTTTTCCTTTAATTATGCTTCTACATTTAGTTCCCTCCATTCCCTCAAATATGCTCCCAACTCAGAAGTGGTTCTTTATTTGAGGAGAATTCAATTCAATTATTGTAATATATCGGTACACAGTGCATATCATTTTCCTGGTACATGTACATATTGGCTATTGGACATATTAGCCAATTGAGGGTGATTAAATATCAAATCCTACCCTCACCCTCCAGACTGCCACCAGTTTATCAAAACATTCATTAATTGGCACTGATAACGTGGCTAGGCCCATCACTAACTCACTGAATTTACATAGAGTGTACTGCCTCTAATGTTATGTGCTGTTCAGCTGAGGACATTTGGAAAGGCCAACCAACTGGACATGGAAAAAGACTTCTCATTTCCTGATAGTTAAATTTCCTATTGTTTTACATTCTTTGCTGTGAAGAAACTGAAATTAAGTTTTAAGTTATGTAGCTGCCCAATATGTCATATGTTTTGCTTTCTTTTTTAGGCACACTGCCAAGTGTAGAAATGTGCATGATGTATGTGTTGTACAGATAATATTGTTCTGCTTTTCAATTTTCACACTGTCAAATACAAGTACTATGTTGCTTTAGTTATATGTGGAGCTTTACAGAAATATTATGTAAGGGAAAAAACATATATTTTGCTGTTGTGACATGATAAATGGGTTGTGCTGAAATTCATCTACTGGTGTCACTCTTTGGCTGAGATCAGTTCTGTGGCTGTTGTGAAAGCACTGGCTACAGAAAGCATTGAAACAACTGTTGTTTACATAATTTGCTTTGGAAAATGTTATAATGTTGAAGAAAAAATTAAAAATAATTTCCTTGATCATTTTTTCCAGGTTGTACATAGCGTTCGATGCAGACTACTATACCACCTAGGATACTAAACAAGGGAGTAAAAGGATTACTTCAAGTTCAGATTGTTCAGATGACAAAACACTTGAGATATTTCAATTTCTGTTTGTCAGAACACAATCCACTCTATCATCCTTCTAAAATGTGTTCTGAGTCGGACTGTTTTTTTCTGAGCTGAGAACACAACTTCTTGCTTTGCATACACCCCTACTTTGCACCTGTTTCAACTCATGCAGCTGGCATACTTATTATTTGTACTCTTTTAATTATGTCTTGATCATTTTACTAGAGAAAATAAATGCATATCATAATATATGTTATGTGCCTATGAGGAATTCTCACATGAGCTTGCTTATGAGACTCTGGGTTGCCTACCTGTAAGTTCTGTCTCATCTGGGGTTGGAAACCAGCATTCCAGGTATTGCTCTGTGGAGGAAGAGCTCTGTGAGCTTACTCATGAGACACTAAAGTGCCTACCTGAAAGACCTGTCCCACCTGGTCTTGAGCTTCAAAGGGAAAGGCACTAGAAGCTTTTCCAGAAAAAAAGGGGCCTGAAAGGAAGACTTTAGTTTATTCATACTGACTTTTTCTGATGACTATTTTTGTCTTGTCTTTCTTGGGAAAGGAAGGGGTCTAGAATAGGGGTCCCCAACCCCCGGTCCATGGACCAGCACTAGGCCGTGGCATGCCAGAAACTGGGCCATGCAAACAAGCGAAGTCCCATCTGCGGGATGCAGGCAGCATGTGAAACCATGCCCACTCTGGTCCTCAGAAAAACATCTCCCTGGTGCCTAAAAGGTTGGGGGCCACTGGTCTAGAAGACTTTGCAAAAATTCGAGAACTCAGTTCTTTGGTGCTAGTGAAGATTTATGGTATCGCTTTTTCAAATAGAAGAACCACTGCATAAAGGCCAGGGCATACCAATGCCATTAGAAGATTTCTGTCATTTACTGACCTGTATACTGTATAGTACTCCTACAACATAAGCTGGGGAAGGTTCCCAACCGCCACAATAAACACATCCCAGTGAGGAATTCAGACCCAGATGATCTTTTCGTTTCTCTTTTTGACTTACTCCAAATTTTAAAAATGGTGATTTTATTGTTAATTGTAGTTATCACAAAAATTATCGGAACTTGCCAACAGAAGGCATATTTTTAAAAAATAGGAATATAACAAGTGTTTGACTTTTCTCATCTGTTTCAAAAACCATTTTGCCTCTCCTACTTTAAAAGTAAATTGGTATTCTAATCCTTTATTACTTATTTAAAAACTTCTGGAACAATTTCAATAATCATAATAATAAAAAAATATTACTGCCTGCTCTGAATAAGAACAGAAGCCAAAATTTTGTGCCCAGACCAAAAAAATTATCTTCTGTACAGTTTTATGTACATATTTTATATTAACAGATTATCTGGATAATGAAGTTGTCTCTAAGACTAACTGGTTTAAATATTAGTAATAAAAATTACATGTAATTACATTTGAAATGTATTATTATTCTCTTTGATAGTTTTGTATGAAAAAAGGGTGCAACCTTAGAACATTTTAAAAATGGCTTGAAATATAATTAAAAAGCACAATGAAGCCAATACTTTCTTGAAAAAAACCTTGCATATGAAAGTTCTGGAATAGCACGGGAAATTAGAAATTATTTTCTTTCCCTACTTAACCCTCCCAAACAATGGAGAAGGACGGAATGAATTCCCTTCCTATGTTGCACTATTCTGTTTAGGGTTAATTGTACAATTTTCCTCTTGGCCAGGGACTTAAAATAAAATGGCTGGTTGTAGATTGTTTACTGCATCCCATAAATCACTGACAATAAAAGGCTCTTATTTGTTTAATAGTCCTATTGTTATATCTGCATAGTTCTAACCATTTTCTTAGTCATAGTAACATGCATCAATAGACTTTGACAGAACATTGTTACTAGATATTATGCATTCCTATTGAAAGATTTACATAGCAGACATTAGAATAATTAATTACCTGTCTCTGTCAGTACAGAATCTTAGCATACATAAATTGTTTTCATCTTTGAGATGAAACTGATCTTCTGAATTTGATAGTGATAATTACACTTAAAAAGTAGATAGATTTATCTTATAGCCTTCAAATCTGCAATTTTGTACACATTTTTCAAGATTCAGTGAGAATATGCCTCTTACTAAATTCAGTGAAATTGACCTATGCTTATACAAGCATAAGATCCCACTGTTATTCAAGTACTTGTCAGTTCTATGATGACATAAAATCAATTCTAATCTCAAGGAGCATATTCCTGCTCATTAAACATCCAGTAACATTTAATGCTAGCACGTAGGCATGGAAATGAATATAATACCAGGGTGTGGGTCTACTTGTCATGTTTCATTGTGCAGAATGTACAATTCACAATGACAATGCAAAGAAACAATAGCCATGCTAAGATTCCAAGAATGATTTGTATTCATCTTAAATAGCAACAAAAACTTTGAATGTAATCACAGCAGATTTTATCTTTTCACATTTATCTTTATTTACATAATGGGAAAAGATGGACAAATACTGTTTATTCTAATGTCCTTTTAAAGGATGATAGTCAAACTACATAACAAAAAATGAATTTTAATTTCTGGCATACTAAAATTAGGTCAGAGCCTAAAAGAGTGGCATGTTTATCATGTTAAAACATATTCCTGCAGGGGTGAGGCCACTGGGTACAAGTTTATCTATTCCTTTCAGGCCTCAGGCCTCCACTTTAAGCAAAACTTTGCAGCACAAGAAGTCTTGTAGGGCTGCTTTGTAGGGCAATGAAGATACCTTAGACTGGAAGAAGAAATATGATTTAGAGCATCCTGTGTAGAACACTGCTGGAAACACCTTTAAGGCAGACCATAAGTAGCTGATACTTACTTATACTATAAAGAACAATAAGTAACCTCCAGAAATTGGAGAGTGCTCCAACACTGGAAGTTTTTAAGAAGAGATTGGACAACCATTTGTCTGAAATGATATAGGGTCTCCTGCTTGATCAGAGAGTTGGACTAGAAGACCTCCAAAGTCACTTCCAACTCTTGTTTTTCTGTTCTGTTCTGAATCCCAAACTATCATATATTTGTACAAGCACATTTCTAGGATATCAAATATTTGACAACTATCCCAAGATGCCATCATTCTCTTTATAAGATCCAGGTTACAGTAGTTATTATTATGCTTGAAAAATACAATACGGGGAACAGAGTGCATGCCTTTACAAAATTTGAAAGAATCTATTGTAGTTTCTTATTAGGGATATTAAGTCACCTTACAGGTGAGATGGGTGGCATAATTACATTCCATGTATAAACTATTCCATATAAGCACTAGGTGCAGAAGTCAAGGAGGTTTTGTTAATGTCAATGATATATTAAGTTGAGGAATAAAGCCATTAATAAATTATATGCATCGTTTAGGTTAGTCTTCTTCAATTGGCATTAGGCATCAAGCACTATTCTATCCTTATACTCTTATAAATTACAAGATAAAGAGAATAAGAGAAATCTCCTGTCCTCATTCAATCCACTTTTATTTCTTTTCCCTTTATGTACTGCCATTTTTTTTCTTGAGGGGAAGAAAAAAAATCTTATCCAGCCTTCCCCAAGCTGGTTTTCTCCAAATGTATTACAACACATAGCCAGGCAACCTCTAGACAATTAATTTACCAATTTTTAAAGCATTCCCATAGTACTGCAAATTTATAAATCATTCCACCACTATGATTGCATTTATGTGATCTATTCATCACAGAAGAAACAAAAAAATCCCAGCATTCTTAAAGAGTTTCCTGTAATTAATAATTTTGCCAGCAGTAGTGATAAAAAAGAAAGATGATATGACTTAAATCACATTTAATTAAAATCACAGGTAAATATAAGAAATGCAATTAGCTTTAAGTGTATCTGAAAAGAAGACTTAATTGTTTTTATTCAAAGGAAAACAGTAATTTTACGTTGAGGAAATTATGCTAAATCCATCTGATCTAATCAGTTACCAAAAGTAGACCCCGATGACTGATGACAAAAAGAAAGTAAAAGTTAAGCAAGCAAATGGATGGAAAATGCTCCCTTTAGTGGCAGTAATGTACTTTTAATCTTGTACTGCAATATTGAAAACAAGAAAATATTATTTTTATTATGAATTTAACCATATAAGAATATTCTATTATTGGCTAAAGATCCTAAGCAGAAATACTTTAAGCCATCATGAAAAGTTAAGGCTACTTTGCTATTCAATCAGAGGAAGATTATATTATATTTGCATAACTTTGCTTTTTAGCATTTTAACCATCTGATCTTTTAGCTTAATAGTACAAGACTATTAAGTAATTTATTTCACTTTTGCAAATAAATAGATGAATGCTCAATTTTTAGTGACATCATTACACCTAATGCTACCATTTTATATATATATACTTAATGCTTCAACAATGTTCTAATTATATTATTACTTACTACCTCCAGGATCTTCCATAAAATAAGCAGAGACGTTGGCTTCATCTTTTCCATATTGATTCTGTGCCACCAAAGTATAATTGCCATTGTTGACATGAGTAGGATTGTCCAGCTGAAGGCAGCCATGATATTCTGTCCGATTGGTAACATGTATTTTGGTCCAAATATATTCTGATTCATTCAGTTTAGCCCCATCGTGTAGCCATGTCAAGACTGGTTGTGGATTTCCCCTCACACTGAATGGAATGCACCAATGATGGTCCGAATATGGTATTTCAAGAAATGTGATATTTGGGGCAACTATAATAAGAATGGAAAAAGAAAAAGAAATAACCTGAGTCTTTCATGTATTCTCTTCTTTGTCAATCAGTCAGCTTGTTCAAATAAAGCTAAGATACAAGCAGAAAGGTAGAAGGAATGAAATTTGAAAAGAATCTCATTTGCATATAATAATAAAAGAATTATCTAGAAGAGGAATTGCTAGAATAGGACCCATACCACCTCTGCTGACTACCACGCCATTGGTGGATGGTGGGAATTGATTTGGGGGCTTCTACGGAAACCAGGAGATCTGTGCAACTGCTTTACCAGATGCCTAGTCCCACCAAACCCTCCATTTCATTATTCCTTTTCTAAGGTTACTATCAACACTAAGAATTGTGTGGCAAATTTCAGTAGTTGGTGGGAGACAGACAGTTCTTTAAGGACAGACCACCTTAGAGAACTGAATAAGATATAATCTTAATATTGACTGGACCATCCTCCTAGAGGCCATATCATATTATCATATGTAAATACCATTTACTTTCTGCTGGCATTTACCCATATCATTGCTTAATGGCTAATGTAGTAATAGTACTAAATACACTGAATCCTATAGCAAATTCAAATGAAGAATTTCATTGGTGTGATAGCATGGTAATTATGGCTATAAATCATTAAGGACAGCCAGGAAAGAAAAGGATACAATTCTCAATCTCACTTATCTGAAATAGTATAGGTTCTCCTGCATGAGCAGGGGGCTGGACTAGAAGACCTCCAGAGCCCCTCAAGCTTTATTCTGTTCTGTTCTGTTCAGTTCTGTTCTATCTAACTCATTTCTTGCAAATATTTATTTTATAAACAATCTCTCTTTCTTGGAAAACTTCAGCATAAATTCCAAAATGTTATTTCCCAATTTTTTTCATTAGGCAACGATTTTCTGGATGAAAATTATGTCTAAAGTTATTTACATACAGAACACGGTGAGGTCGACAGAAGCTTGGTCTTCACCCACAATATTTTCTGCTATACAGTAAATCTGTATGCCACTGTCACTTGATGAGACATTCTTTATAGTAAAAGAAGCGGGGTTCTTATTTGTATCACTCTAGAAGGAATACAAAGAAATACATAGGCTTACAGAATTTCCATTGAAAACTGAGTATGATTTTCTGCATACTATTAATGCCAATTATTAACTAATTTACATAAGAACACTTTCAAAAACTTTATTCACTACTAATATGGAACAAGCACTGTATACACACTGCTTGTTTTGAGGACCTCTTTGCAGATAGTCTATTATGCCCAGTTTCCCTTGGATAGCAGTTAGACAACATCCACTGAGGTGAAGAAGGTGTGCCTTCTATGATACTATGGGCTTGTAGCAGTGGTGGTTGCTACTGGTCCGCCTTGAATCAGGCGACCCAGTAGCGGCAGCAGTGGGAGGCTCCGCCCACCCACCCGAACGCTTCTGTGCATGTGCAGAGGCGGCATGCACGAGTGCGCGCCCACACAAGTGTACCGGTAACAAACTAAATTGAAACCCACTACTGGCTTGTTGAGCCCAAGGGAGTAGAAAAATGTTTTGGTAATTTGACTTTCCGCATTATCCAGCTTGTTTCATGCCCTTCCTAGTTCTTTAAGAAGCAAAGCAAGATATACAGATGATTTCGACTTCCGGTTGTGATTTGCAGCGACATGGTGTCGAGTGAGTGATCGCTACTCCTCAACACCCTTTGTCACCACGTTTTGGGGATCCCTTTCGGGGCGTGGGACCCGGAGAGCCCTGCGGACAAATGAGAGAGCCAGGCGAGCGAGAAAGTTGGGCGTAGACACTTCTCGCAAGACCGGGTGGCTCTGTCGATCCAACGTGGTGAGTCGGCCATCTGATGGCGGGCCTGAAGCTGTAATAACCAGCAAAAAGACGGGAGCTAAGAAGATCGGAGGTGCCGTGTCAGAACTGAAACCACACTTTCCCTGCTTTGGTGAGATTGAACATCGAGAGAGGAGGTCGGTGGTGTCTGGAGCGAAGAGCTCGGTGCAGTGAGAGGCGGCGACGGAGAGCGCAGAGCAGATCGTAAAGGCAGAGAGCTCGACAAGCCGACGCGGAGAATGGAATACTGAGGGAGCAGATCGTTTGCATAAAGAGCTTTGGAGGGCATGGAGAGAGAGAAGAGAAAAGGATTCTAGCAGAATATTTGTGTGGCTGGTGCTGCGATTGATCAGCAAGGAGGGGAAGTAAGCAGGAGACTGAACTATTCTCGAGTGTTTCAGCGAAACAGGAAGTGCAGCCATTAAGGAAAATTGAAGGAGCGAGAGAGCAAAGGACTGGCAAAGAAACGATCTAGCAGTGAGATTTATCATAGAGCAGTGTCTGAATTCACCGGGAGCAGAGAGGAGAAGACTCACGACTAAGTGAACATTATTCTTTACATACATCTACCTACATATAATTAAAAAAAAGAAAGAAAAAGAGAAGAGGATTTCTATATCCTTATTGTACATATAACTCTGATACTCATCCCTTCTCCCTTTCCTTTCAGTAATTTTGTCTCTAATATTCCAACTTTGATCTCCTAAATATTATTGTTAATAAGAATTGTTAATTGTTAATTAATATAGAAATTAAGTGCTGATTATATCTTGTTGTTACCAGATATATTTATATATTTATATATAATGATTTATATTTATATTTAACTAATTAATTATTTCATCATATTTATTCTCATTGATAGTACTCATTAATTTATTTATACCAACTCTTTATATTAATGTTTTAACTTAGCTACATAAGAATCATAGTATTTATTGGAATATAGGGGTATAAAAATCCTGGTTCTGTAATCATATTTGAGAATTAATTCTGAACCTGGTAACGTGACTTAACTTATTAGCTTTAAATTATTAAGGAAAGTTAGAGAACCTCTCTGTGTTAAAAGAATTTGATTTAAGAAAGAAACCCTAATGAATTGATCCCTTTCAGTTAAGATAGAAAATTACTTAAATAGGAACTCAAGAAGTGGAACTAACAGTGGAAATAGGGGCAAACGCCATTGAATGATCATTTGGAGAAATATTGAGAAAATTATAAGAGAACAAAAGCTAACTCTGAAAGAAATGGCAACTTTGACCTCAACAATTCTGAAAACTGGCAAAAAAGCACCATCTAACCCTACCTTATCAATGATGTCCCCAGCGACTCAGAAATCATTAGAAGGCTTGCAGAAATTAGACAAACCACCGACAACCCCAACTCTTCAAACAGTACAATCTTCTTTGTCATTAATCCAAGAGACCATGCTAGCAATGCAAGAGAAATTGTTAAATAATCATTCTGAATTAAAGATGGACATTCACGTTCTTGATTCAAAGATGAATGAGATCCAAGCCTCCATTGCTAACAATGAGAGAAGAATCCAAAATGTAGAACAAAGGATGGAACAAAGTGAAAAAAAATTAGATATGGTGGACCAGACTTTTGCGACACAAAATAAAGAAATCAAAGATTCTTTGATACAACTGGAAATGGACAAGGCTTCATATTATCTTCATTTCCAAAATATCTGTGAAGAAAAGGAAGAGGACTTAGGTGACAAAATGGCTGAGCTGATCGCGGACGCCCTTCAGCAAGACAAACAAGAAATTATTAGAGAACTTGATGAGGTTTACAGGGTACAAACAAATTACGTGAGAAGAAATAGGCTTCCTAGGGAGGTCCACGTGAGGTTTGCCAGAAAGAAAGTGAGGGATATTCTATATAACATAGCGAGAGAAGAACAAATTGTATTCAAAGGGAAGGAGGTGAATATCCTAAAACAAGTACCAAGAAGAGTGAGGGAAGTGAGAAAAAATTACAGATTTCTGATGAGCCAACTGGACAGAAGAAACATGATATTCAGATGGCTCCTGCCAGAGGGGATATTAATCTCATGGCAGGGAAGAAAAATTAAAATTGATAGTTTAAGTGTAGCACAGGATTTCTTAGACCAACTAAAAGGAGGGGAAGAAGAGCAAAACAGTAAGGAAGAGATCGATACGGTAAATACAGAAGAAGAAGCTTCACAAGATCAAAGTACAAAGGAAGATATAGAAGAGGAAAAGAAAAAAGAAGTAGAAGAAAAAGGAAAGAAGACTAGACCAGTAAAAGCAGTAACGTTAAAGACAAACAAGAACTAGAAACCAGACACAAACACCAGGAATGGACAGCTTAAAAATCCTATCCTTAAATGTTAATGGTCTAAATGACCACAAAAAGAGGAAGATAATTCTATCAAAATTGGTAAAACAAAACCCAGACATAATATGTATACAGGAGGTTCATATAAAAAAAGATGAGGCAAACTGCCTAGAATTTACTAAATTTGGCAAAGTATTTGTGTCTTTAGCAGGGAAAAAGAAAAGGGGAGTTGCTATGTATGTGAAAAAAGGAATTGAGGCAGAATTAAAATATAAAGACGCCAAAGGGAGAATCCTAATGATAGAAGTTAAGAGAGGTAACTCAAAAATGATGTTGGTGGGGGTTTATGCCCCGAATAAAAAACAGGGACAATTTTACAAAAAATTACATGAACAATTAGGAAATTGGGCTCATGCCGAAATATGCATGTTAGGTGATTTTAATGGTATTGTAAATCCAGATAAAGATTATAGAAGTGGGGAAAAGAAAAAAAAATAAAAGGTTACCTCTGCCAAAAAGCTTTTTTGATCTGGTGGATGAAATAAATTTAATTGATATGTGGCATACCCTACACCCTTATGATTCCCAATATACTTTTTATTCAAACTCACAGAACTCCTGGTCTAGAATTGACATGGTATGGACCACCAGAAAACTAGGATTGGAAATTAAGAAAGTTGATATGAGTACAAACACTTGGGCAGATCATAAGCTTCTTGAAATAAATTGGCATTATACAAATAAGAGAAAACAACAGAAATGGAGTCTAAGGATTAATCTTTTGAATGAAAAAGAGTTTATATTAAAATTGAATGAAGAAGCCAAGCGTTTTTTTTTATAGAAAATGGTAAGCAAGGCACGGCCAAGGAAATTGTGTGGGATACTATGAAAGCATATGTGAGAGGAGTACCGATATCGTATATGGCGTTCAAAAATAAGGAAAAAAGGAAAGCTAGGGAGGCCTATAATAAAAAGCTAGAAGAAGCGGACATTAAATTACAACAAAATCCGGGAGACAAGGTGGCTAAGCAAAAGTGGATCATGGCAAGGCATAGCCTGAATATTCTGGATCAGGAGGAGCTAGCGCAAAAAATTAAGAGAATAAAACACTACCATTTTGAGAACGCCAATAAGTCAGGAAGGTGGCTTGCATACAGAGTAAAAAAAGAAAAGGAAAAAAATTAAATTCTTATATTAGAAGATTCCAAAGGTAATATTCTGACAAAAGAAGAGGATAAATTAGAAAGAACAAGAGCATTCTATGAAGCCCTATATAAAGATGAAGAGATTGACCCAGATAAAGTCAAACAATATTTGATGGAAGCTACCCTACCACATATAACGGAAGAAGAGAAGGAAATGCTGAATAATAAAATTACAATAGAGGAACTACAATCGGCCCTTACCAAAATCAAAAAAACAAAACACCAGGCCCAGACGGTCTGCCGGGGGAAATATATACAAAATTTGATGAAGAATTACAATTAGAATTGTTAGAAATATTTAATGAGGTTTTAGTTGGCATAAGAATCCCAGATACATGGAAGGAAGCATATATTACACTCATATTGAAAGAAGGTGCCGACCCGAAACAAATAGCAAATTATAGACCCATTTCTTTACTAAACTCAGATTATAAATTGTTTACAAGTATAATAGCGGAAAGAGTAAAAAAAATTCTAAACAGTTGGATTCATAACGATCAGAATGGATTCCTCCCAGGGAGACAAATGAGAGATAATCTGAGGACTGTAATAAATGTCATAGAATACTATGAGCAGCACCCGGAAAAACAGCTGGCGTTAAGTATTTTTGGACGCCCAAAAGGCGTTCGATAACCTGAACTGGAACTTCATGGTTAACCAAATTAATTTAATGGGATTCGGGACAAATTTCAGGAAAATGATTGAAAATATCTACCATAAACAGAGGGCGAGCATTCTAATAAATGGGGATAAGACGCGGACATTTTGGATTCAAAAGAGAGTTAGACAGGGATGCCCCTTGTCTCCATTACTTTTTATTATGGTGCTAGAAGTTTTACTTAGAAAGATCAGAGCTAATAAAGAAATTAAAGGACTTCAAATCAGGAAAGAAACATTTAAAACACAAGCCTTTGCAAACGATGTGGCTTTAATAACAGAAGATCCCTTGCAAACTGGCCCCAAATTACTTCAGGAAATACAGAAGTATGGAGAAGTTGCTGGCTTCAAACTTAATAAAATAAAAACTAAAATATTAGTGAGAAATGTGACAGAGGCAAATAAGAAAGAGTTAGAAAAATCCTTAGGTCTTCAGATAGTGAAGAAAATAAAGTATCTGGGAATATGGATTACTTCGAGATATTCTTCTTTAAAGGACGACAATTATATCCCATTACTACAAAAAATAAATCAGGATATAGATAGATGGAAGAAGTTAAAATTATCCTTTACAGGTAAAATTGCAGCAATCAAGATGAATATCCTCCCTAAAATCATCTTTTTATTTCAAACTATACCAGTGAATCTCGACAAAAAATTCTTCTTGGATCTGAATAAGAAGGTGCGAGATTTTCTATGGGAGGGAAAGAAGGCAAGGATCTCATATAAGACACTGCAAGGGAAAAAAAATATGGGTGGCTTTGGACTCCCTGATTGGGAAGTATATCAAAAGGCGGCTAAATTAGTATGGATTAAAGAGTGGGTTACATTGCAAAACAAGAGAATTTTGATGTTAGAAGGCCACGATCTACAGGAAGGTTGGCATGCCCATCTATGGGATTTAAAGAACAAAAAAAAATCATATTTTCATAAACACAAAGTAAGGGAGACTCTTATTCAAACGTGGGAAGAAATTAGGCAACGATTCTATGTGAAAGTACCAAATTGGCTTTCTATTATGGAGGCCCTGACTGCCTCAAATAGAAGAGATATTCTAAAATTCGGCACGTATAAAGATATATTAGACGATAACGGAACCCTTAAATCTCGGGAAACATTAAGAAACCAAGGTTTTAATTTAGATTGGTGGAGTTACCTACAGATAAGCTCAAGATATCAGAAAGATAGAGACCAATTTGGTATAGATGCGAAGCATAACAATGTGGATAAAATTATGTTGGGGGACGGAAAAGAAAATGTTAGCGAAATTCTACAATCTTCTATTAGGCGAGGACAGGGCAGAAGGAATAGCCAGAAACCAATTAAATATTTGGGAAAAAAACATTGGTTATAGATTAAATTTCAACGACTGGGAGGAGGCCTGGAATAGAAACTACAATTTGACTAAATCAGCAACATATAGGGAGAACCATTACAAAATTTTCCATAGATGGTACCTAGCACTAGCTAGATTAGCAAAAATATTTCCTAATGCTTCAACAACATGTTGGAAGTGTGGAAAGGAGGTTGGCACCTTCTACCATATGTGGTGGTCCTGCCCTGAGACAAAAAAGTTTTGGATAAGAATACGAAATTGGTTACGAGAAATAGTGGAAGAAGAAATAAACTTATCCCCTGAAATCTTTTTATTGGGAATGATCAGAGATGGATTTTCTAAAGATAAGATACATCTTATAATACATATCACAACAGCGGCCAGGCTAGTTTTTGCAAAGTACTGGAAGGACAAATCAACTCCTCCAGAGGAAATACTAATAAACAAAATCTTAGAATGTGTAGAAATGGCAAAATTAACAAGTGATCTTAATAATGATGTGAACTCAAAATTCTATGTAGTATGGGAAAGGTGGTACAAATGGTGGAATAACAGAATGAGATTGTTATGTTAGGATATGTTTACTTTTAGTAATGGTAGTTTCGAATTTATTTGATATATATATTTTGTAAATATGTAAATACACGACACCTCAGATGTTAACAGAGATTTGATGTTTTCTACAGTTTTAAAACCAATAAAGTATATTTTTAAAAAAAAAGATATACAGATGATTTCAGGAGAAAATTAACATTTCCCCATGTTAGGGAAATGAGGAGAGTATAATGCCATCCATTCTAAAGCAGGTAGTTACGCATTCTCTTTTGAAAGTTATATCTGGACCCAAATGTCCTTGATAAAATGAGCTGCAGCAGAAATGAAGACCACCCAAGATAACTTAATGCCTGCTCAAAACTTGAGTTTTACCATGGCTAAATATACATTTTTTTTAATATTAAACTCTTACCTCATGTTTTGAAACAATATTATTGAAAACCCAAGCTATCGTTGGTGATGGACTTCCTGTGGCTTCACAATATAAAGTGATAGTTTTGCCTTCAACAACTGTGAGATTTTGTGTATTCAACTTGACTGAAGGCATGCCTAGAGAGTAAGACAGAAATATTTTTAAACCTGAACATATATAGTATGGTATATGTTTGTCAGTTCTCAGAAATTAACAGCAATATTTTGGCGCATCAAAACAGAACTTTAAAATAAACAGAGTACTGATTCGTTACAACAACCTCACAAAGTAAAAGGACTTTATTCTACAGACAGTTTCATATAGTAGCAAAGACTGTTTGATGCTATCCCTATCTCAAGTAAAACTTCCTTAATATCTAGTATGAAATATTTAATATTTGTCTATTCATCTGTTCCCTTATTGCATTCAGTTAAATATGTTTATCAAAATGTGTAAAGGAAATTTATATCATGTGATTTACTGGATTATTCTCCATTCCTCCCAAGTGAAGACATCTCCAAAGTAATCCATCTCTCACAGTAACAGTGACCACTACAGAGTAGTCATTTAGATTACCGTTTAAAATTCAACTATGCCACTGGTGGAACTATAGGCACCAAAGATTATTCTTAAAAATCCTTTTCCTTTCACCAATATTTGGAACAAATCTCTCCACAAGATCTAGAATAGGCCTGGATTTATTTTAGCTTTGTGCTTACTTAAAGCACAAATACTGCTTTATTGTATACTGTACAACAAATATTGACTTGTCATTTTCAACCCCAAGCCTAATTTTGTTTTTCCCTGGACATTCTGACATCAATCTAGAAAAAGTAGGGTCCTGTTTTAATTGTGTAGAATGTGTAAAAAAAAAAAAAGGAATGATTTTTGAACTCATGCAACATTGTTCCTCATTGTTGATATTGAAAATTAATACATGCCCATATAACTATTATCCATTCCAATTTATATAGAAATTCTCTGGGACTGTGCAATAACATGTGGACTGCTATTATGTTCCTCAGACAGGGATGTTCTCCCCTTGTGAGATGTCCTTGAAAATATGTTATTTGTTTGTAGTATAGGTGCCTAGTAACTTGTGAACATAATGAAAGTTGGAAATATATTTTTTCCAGAAGAAATTAAGTTAAATGTGATAGATAATCTGAGCCTTTGGAATTCTTCTTTCAAAATCTGTACATATTTTTTTAAAAAAAATATGAAATTATATTCTGATACTGCTATTTCAGTTTGTCATTTGGAATACTACTTCATAAGGTAAATCTTGTATGTATTTGGCAATGAATATGTGCAAATAAATTTCCAATTACAGGCTAATGGACTGCTGCAGATCTGAACTATCTGCGAAGATCTTAAGTCCTTTTCATCGATTTCAGAAAGTAAAGGCAAAGAATGCTAGTTACCATTTAAGCAACAGAATGGAACAGAATACCACTGTCATTATGTCACATAATCTCCTAGATACACAATTATATTTGCAGCTGAAAATTTAAGGATGGAAGAAACTGAGAGAAAACAGATAAGGTTTTCACATACATACGGCTCTCAAGAGAGGGGAAAGGAAATAAAAATCTGCTGAAGAGCTACAGGAAAGGTCATGTTGGAGTCAAAGAAGGAGAAAGAGAATATGGCTAGCAAATGAAGTGGATCTAGGCAATTTCAGATTGCTGAAGATATCTACGTTCCTGTGAGATGGAAAATAATCCACAAAGAGTCAGCAGATGGTTATCTATGCTTTATCATATCAGCCCCCACTTTGCACACACCCCCAAGGAAAAGGATGACTGAAAAATAAGTTGATTAACTTTCTGCTAGCCTCCCTCCCCAAAACAAATTGCCAGCTACTGTAAGTCTAACAGAAGCCTACCTAAATACTTATTTTGCTAACAAAAGGAGCACATTAGTAGAAGTGTTACTTTTGGAGGCAAAGGGACGGTTTTGCAGAGTAATGTATGTAATTGAAAAAAATGTCGACCTCCTAGGATACTGAATGCCCTTCCTCTGTGAAATGTTATGAATAAATAAAATCTGAACTGAAAGAACCCCCTTTCATTCTCCCTCTAAATAGCTACAAGCTTCTATACCAGTCAATTAGCACTAAAAAGTCTAGAGACTGAGAATGTTCAAAATTCAGGGCAGACAAAACTAGCAGAAACCTTTAACTTACAATAAAAAGAAGGTGCAGTCATAGATGTTCCAAACTGTGGAAACCTACCCTCTTTTTTGTACTGTACATTTATTACTTTACATTCATAAAATACTCTGAACCCTACTGAACAATTATGTAACCTTTCAAGAGCCTATTTCAAGTTCATTTATGCGAGGGTATGATTGAGACAGAACGTGAGCAGTATTGAAATTGTAATATTAGACTCCTCTACAAGCCCTACCGAACTGTGTAAGGCTTATTTTTTAAAAAAATATATACAAGCTCACAAGTTAATAACTAGCTGCACTTAACATTTTGAGGACCAGAGGACTGAGAGCTACAGGCAAAACTATTATTCAAAATGGATGTACTATGGATTACACAACTGGGCGAGGCTGGCATTTTGCTGTTCAGTTTTCTATAACAAGAGTTTGCATTTGCCGCACCAGGCAAAAAAAAGGAGTTCTGATAGAACCAAGCTTGTATTTGTTTCTTACTCAACCAGTCTTCTAAAATTTATGCCCAAACTTGCCTAAACACAAGCTACTTTTAAAAAATCCATTCAAGACTGATTTTCCCAGCTTGATATTGTCACAATGGTTTTGAAAATTATAGGTGAGATTATTGGGCTTCTAAAGTGCAGCTCCAATATTTGAATATATTTTAAAATGCTCAAGTACAGCTTAATGTCTATAAAATAGCAAATCTTTTTTCCCCCTATATCACAGAGACCTTACTTTCATAGATAATTTCTCCCATAAGTATTTATTATTGGTCTCAGATTTTTTTAAAGAATATGATATTGATATTATATTCTAATAAGGAAGCTATAATTCACTCTATGAGGCATACTATGTCATCACAAAGCTTTGATTGGCAGTTATCTAAACTGGAAGAAAACTCTGCATGTGAGTTGCATATTTATTGTAGCCTCAAAGCTTTCAGTAACTGGAATTACTGGACAAAGTCTTAAGAGCAAAATTAAACAGAACATCCATTAAAATCCTAGTGATGAATATATTTTTGAACCTGGTTTACTGCTTGTATATTTTAATACAATAAGGTGAATTACACAGAAAATATCTCCATGGTTGCAACTGCACAAAGCAAATAACATATTATCTATTTAGAAGTAACACTGCAAACTATATACACACAAGTAATGAAAAGTGGTGGGCTTGCATACTAATTGGTTTGACAACAGGAGAGAACTTCTCTAAATATAGAAACACTGCATAAGATATTAGTTGTTTTTGTATACCCTCATTCAGAGGCCATTTTGCATAAAGCATTTGGCATTATCAAAAAGGCTTGCATAGTTAACTTAGACATAATGCCCGCTATTATTAATACTTTGGTGTGATGTACATAACAGTAAAGGCAAAATCTCCTCACGAGTCAAGTTCAAATCCTGGTGACTCCATGGAACTATTAATGGAATCATTCTGGTAAAAATACAGAAGTGGTGGTTTGCCATTATTTATTTTCAGAATCTTTCTAGAAAAACTGATTTAGAATTTTCTGATTATATTTTCAAGTATTAACTAGATTCAATCCTACTCAAGTTTCTAAAATCAGCCAAAGCAGTTATCTCTCTGATTCTTAGCTAATATGCTTCCACAGTCCCTCATTCTTCAATACAGTATAATTAGTAAGACACAAGTACAACATTTTTAAAAATTCTTTTTTTCAATTAACTGTTGAAAACTATTGTTTAAATTAAAAATTATACTTAAATTAAATAATTAGAAAACAATCCAATCATGATCCATAATCTGAAATTCATTTGTTTCCCTAAATCTAACCAATTTTTTCACTTATGAGTATTTTGAGAAACTACAATTTCGTTTTTTAAAAATGGGAGATTCTGCTGTAATCTTTGCTGCCACACCGGTGAGAAAAATCCTATAAATCAAAGCAGGTTGTCTATCTGAAGACAATATTTATTGCTCCATTTCATAATTTCTGATTAAGTGCATCTCTTATAACAAGGTTGCATTCTTGTGCATCAATGAAATACAAATTTTCTTGAGTTGGGCTTAATTCCCAGTTACTACATGAACACATCCATGTAGTATTCTTGACAACAATACAGAAGTAATTTGTCACTGCTTTTGTCTATTATTTATTCTCAGCTTCTCTGACTAAAGCCTTTGGATTTCCAAAGGGTCTCCTATACAAGCATACACCCAGATCAACTCTATTTAGCTTTTTGAGAGCAGCAACGTTCAGGCTGTTTGTTCCCTATTGTTGTCATTTATATAATAAGAATCATTAAGTGAATTTTTCAGATCAGGATATATTTTGCAGAGGACAACAAGCTCACTGGAGCTGATGTTGATGGGTACATAATGAATCCATATGAATCTGCTGGATATTTATGCTCCATCCAAAATCTGTGGAGAAGCAATTTGACAAACCTTCCATTCATCTGGAATCTTTTTTTTATTTATAGATAACTTTCCCTATCAGTATTATGGCTGTATTTGGATCTGTGTTGAAAGAGCAAAATGTGATTCTGAGTATGTGTCTTAGGAAAATATGCATCTTAGGAAAATATAAACTAGATCTTAGGAAAATATGTATCTAAGATGTACCTGACAGGGGTTAGATATGTGCCCATGTATATTCCAAATCACTATTACCCTTCAAATCTGGACCTCTACACAACTAGAATCATTCTAAAATTCTTCTGTTTTTATTTTAATAAAATAAATAAATAAATGTCCTATAAATAACTAAAGATAATTTACAATCAGTATTATAAACAGGGATGTAGTACTATAAACAGGGATGGAGTATTATAAAAAGGAATGGAAACAGATATGAGCTCCACCTCCTATAGTTGGCAATGACTAGCGAAGTAAAATCCGCAGGGACTCCTTTCCTTATTATAAACAGGGAAAGAAATAATTTGAAACTTTTCTGGTACATCCATTCTTCCAAGCATTACCTGGTAAAAAATAA